CTTAGACAACGATAATTCACACATACCAAAGACTGAACCATCAAATGATTCCGATAATTCAAACAATAGAGAAAATCCAATTGCTAAAATCAAAAGATATCAGGTATTAAAAGGAAATATTATTATTATTATTATTTGGAAAACCAGTAAAAAAAAAAAATCCTAAATTATATAAAGACGAAATAAAGCACGTGAGCGCGCGTGTGTTCACCACGTGGGTTTTTAGCAAATTTCATTCAAACTGAGGGAAATCCCCTGCCCTCTGCCCCTCGTGCGTGTTGACTTCGTTTAATAGAATCAAATGAATTTTACACTTTGAAGTCTTCGTTAGGTTTTGTCTCCTCCGTCCCCCCTCCCCCCAAAAGTCGATGATGATGATTGATAAACAAACGACGCACAGATTACGAAAAGGTTTTGATGTTTTGTTCTTCCCACGACTTTAAGCAGTCGAAACTTTTTTACAATAATAATAATAATAATGAATTGATTTTAGGTTGAAGCAGAAAGCAGAAAAATTGAATTTGCCAGACTCCTAGAGGAGCACGCCCAAGTAATAAGACAATTAAAACAAATGGAAGAATCCGAATCGTCTCATCATTTTCCCAACACAATGGCGGCAAACGTTTCTAAAGCGTGACCTTCTTATCATTATTATTTTTCATCATCATCATCATCATCATCACCGTCATTTTCTTCTGGCTATGTTAATTTACATTCGAATCCTTTTTCTTTTTTTTTTTTTTTTTTACAACAATAATAATAATAATAAAAACAATGTTGATGATAATGGTCGAACCCAAGGGTAAACGAATATAAAAAAAAAAAACAAAACCGAAATGTTAATGTCGTCGAAATTGTTTATATTTGATGAAAAGAAAAGTTCTCTTTCCACGTTAACCTCCTGCTAAATTTTATTAATAATAATAATAATAATAATTTACAAAAGAGAGAGAGAGAGGGGGGGGCATCATCTCAACGACGTTAATAATAAAAGGAATTTAAAAACAAAATTTTCAATTTTCAAACATTAGTGACATCTATTGGTAAAAACCCCGAACTAATAATAAATGTAAATAAAAGTGACAAACACAATGACATAAATTTGCAATGACAATAATTATAATAATAATAATAATAATACTTTCAATAGTAAAATATATATAATTTTTTGTATTTAGAATGTAAAATTTAATAATAATAATAATAACAATAATAATAATAATACGTGTAAAATTTCTTTTTCATATTCATTACATATAATTATTATATATAATTTAAAAAAGATTCCTTAAATGTTATTATTTTTAATATTAAAAAAATTATTATTATTATTATTACGTAATTAATTTTATATATTATTAATTAGTTATTGGTATTACCTATACGAATGTGATAATTATAAATAAATGTTTTATTTTTATTTTTTTTTTTTGGGGTAATAATTAAAGTAATTAATTATTTTTATTTTCTCTTATTTATTTTTAAAATAAACTCCTTTAATCATAATTTAAAAAAAAAATATATATATATATATATATATATATATTAATATAATAATAATAATAATAATATTACAAATATATTTTAATTACAACACGAAATAAAAATTAAAATTTTTTTAAAAGCCATAATGATGATAATTATTGTGAGACAAAATAAAAATAAAAAAGGAAATGACATTTATATAAATAAATAAATAAAATTTTTTTTAAAAATTAAAATACAAAACAAAAGTGTCGAATGAAACAATCAATCAATCAATCAATCATAGATTGAATAAATGAATATTTTATACAAATAATAATTTTTTTTTAATTCGATGACATTAAATCAGATTTAATATCTTAATAATAGTTTGAATACATAAATACATATTATAAAAAATTATACAAAAAAAAAAAAAATCTAAAATAAAATAAATACTTAATTCTGTAATAATATTATTATACAAAATAAATATTATTTACATTTACACATACATACATAAATTTCAATGGAAGACTTTTTTTTTATTTCGAAATCCAATGACATTAAAATATTAATAATTAAAATCGAAAAGATGACACAAGTTTAATTTAAACAAAAAATGAAGGCTGACTGATAAAGGCTGATAAAAAGTTTATAATTAATAATAAATCTTATTCCATTTATGTATTTTTTTTTTTTTTCATTTACAAACAAAAAATTTATGGGTGATTAATTAAATTTTATTTTTAAAAAAAAAATTATTTTTCTTACTGTAATGACGTCATTAAAAAAATTCATAATCCTCTATGTAATTAATAATATGACATAAACTTTTTATTATCTTCAAGTTCAATTTTTTTTTAATTAAGGTTATCATTACAGGTACTTTGTAATAAGCATAAAGGCACTAACATTGGTCATAATTATTATTATTATGATTATTATTAGGACTTTTTTTTCCCTTTTTTTCCTTACATTCATTCATCAGATATAATTAGCTTGTAATTATTAATGAGGAAACTTGCATCATTTTTTTAATTTGTTATTAAGTAATTAATGATTACTCTGTAGTGATGGTTTTTGATTTTCTAGAATTTTCTAACATTGCATTGTGTTTTCAGATTGAGCTTTTACCATATTATTAAGTATTAAAACTTTTTGAACTAGTCGAACGTTTTGTTCTTTTAAATATCGAATCATATCAGCTTGTTTTTCTAAAAAATCTTCTATGTGACATCCGTTCTCCCTGAAAATTATTAAAATAAACAAAATTGTATTATTATTATTATTATTATTGTTTCAAAATCATTTAATTCATAACTTAAGTTAGGAAATATTAGTTTAACAAAAAAAAAAAGAAAAATAAATAATACCGAAATCCAATTTCTCCAGATGAATAACTATCTCGAACAAATGTTGCCATCCATTCATCTCTTTGTACATCAGGACATGCTTTACTTTTATTAAATTTATCAACTTTATCTATTGATTATTAAAAAAACATACATAAGTACTTTAATAAACAAAAAAAACTTTTAATAGCAGTATTAATTACTCACATATGTACATAATTATGGTAGGTACCATAAAAACATTTTCCAATGTAATTATAAAGCACATATAATTCATAGGAGTGAGAAATCCATGACTATCACATCTTGTATTAAGATCATCATATTGATCATGGAATAAAGTGGATATAAGCAAAAGTATTGTATTCCCTACAAGTAATAAA